GCAAGGGTAGCCTGGAACGGGATGCGCTGTGTAGCCAAGTGAAATACAGCGCTGTTGCAGCGAGTGCTGCCCCGGGCAGCACCAAGGACTCGGAGAACTCGATGGATGGCATGGCGGTGGACTGGAAGGAGGTGGCACGAGCTTTATCCGATTTATGTAATCGGAGAACATTCTGCAGACGTGGCCTGACAGGAAGCACAATTACATACAGCGGTCCTCGGAACGTGGCTTGCTGCCGGAGATATGCGCAGTTTGCTCGCCTTGAAGATGACAGTGCGATTACCGCGGAGAACGACTATGGCATGGTTTCGGAACAGGATGTTGGACATCAGGAAAATGTACTTATTTCAGCTGGCGCAAGCTGACAGACCTGGCTGGGCTGGCGCATACTGTCGCCAACACGCCAGCTCGCACCAGAATCTGCAGGCTCACCAGTTAATCCAGAATTCAATGTCTTGCCAGAATATTCAAACCTCGTGCACACTGGCATTTGAATTCAGTAGGCAATATCATTTGCATGATAATCTATGTGCTTGTTGACATGGAAGGCTTCAAAGGCGCCAAGAAATGATAATATCAGAAATTAACTGGGATCTGGCGGAACCGGACGGGAATTGGGCCCCACGAAAGAATGCATGTAGATGGACAATGGTGACGAGTTGATATTTCCCCGTCATCTCAGGCTCGGTGATCCACATCCCAGTTGCCAACCCTGCACCAATCGACGAGTGCGTAAGGGTACGTCAACACCGTCATGGGTGAATGAAGTAAATAACCCCACGCGGACCACCCTCATTCTGCGGAAGCCAAGCTCCTCTGGGTTTTCGACAACAACTGCACAATCCCGTCTTGGACCATGCTTACGCTGGGCGACCAGCTAGCATGGCGGGAGGTCAGTGCGGACAGAGGAGAGCTCCGATACGATCAAACTGTTTTGGCCCACAGTTCGCATCTAGTTCGGCCCATGTTTCATTTGTTTCGCGGTGCCAAATTCTGATGCATTTTTTTGTCATCCTTCTTCCGAACACCGCGCGAGTCACATGTCCGCTTTTCCTCTTCACAAACGCCCGCCACGATGGCCGATCGAGAAATGTGTGAAGCTTCAGCAGCCGCCTGATATTCTCATCCCAGAACGAGGTGCCACATTCTGGGATTGTACTACTTAGAGGAAAGCGAGAATCTAGAAAGCAAAGTCAATAAGCAATCAATTCGAGTCCAGTGAGTGTAGATCAATTCGAGTCCAGTGAGTGTAGATCAGTGTACAACGTTCCAAGTTCAACCTAAGTCCGTATACAAGTCGCGCCGATGTCCGGATTTGCACAGTGGCCAAAATTAGGTGTAGTGTCAAAGTAGATATGAATGTGAGTTCTTTAGGTTCATTGAATGGTATTTGGCCATTAAAAATGCGCCCGGTGACGCAGTGAACACGAATTTTGGACCGGACGAACCCTCGGCCGACGTTTCGGACACCAACTCCGGCGCATGCTCGGACAAGGTTTTGTGAGCTTTAACTGTTCTCAACTGTCTAAGCACCCGAAATTGCAAAAGGTCATAATTTACGAATGGTATTTGATGTACAGAAACCGAAACAGAACGGAAATTGGGGATAGTACAAAGTAAAATAAGTACTGCAACAGCGGATTGTGCCGCAGTATGCGTAATCGCATGGAGGGCGTAGGGCGGGAACTGGGTGCGCCATCGGACTGATTTTTGCGAACGAAGCCACGGCCTGGACTGCTTGCGAACGCCCGATTCCCACAAAAGAACTTTGGGAACCCGCCGTTCATTTCAACAGTTGCAAAAGAGCTTAAGGATTCTAGCCGCAGGTTTTCGGCTCGAGCTCAAAATTAAAGTGCTACTACTTGGTTTAGGATCCTAGATTCCCATTCAAACGCCCCTCCAACCCATTATTTTAGTTTATCGTCTAAAGTCGAACAACCCCAAGCATATTTTATACTGGTTGCCCACGCGACTCAACCATCCTTCAAGTTTTGCGGCGGCGAGCCTTCAACTAGAAGCCATCGCACTGTCCCCCACCACACCGCTCGGCAACATTCCATGGCGGCGGCGGCGGCAAAAAAGGACCCAAATGCAGTGGCCAACGGCCTGGGCTCGAGTCGAACGAGGTACTCTCACATAGACGTGGCTGAGACAGTGAATCGAGATCCATACAAAGTGAGTGCAGACCATCTGCGACCAGGCCTTCTACCGTGTATTTTGCAATCACAATAACTGACCGACTCCAAAAGCAGCCGACCCAGCAATATACTCAACATCGAGAGACACCGTAACGGAAAAGTATCGTTTCTTTGAGATTCTGCCGACTTGGTGGGGTTAATTGGGCACCCGTGGATCTAGAATAATGTATTTATATCGAGGGACGAGCGTCCGCATTAACTATCTTCTACGAGAGATAATCGAGAGACAAGCCAAGAAGCAAAGAGAAATAAGGAGAAATTCTCCATGTGAATGTCATAGCCCAGGCTCGATTCGAACGAGCGATTCCCGCATGTGAATTCTCAGATGTAAGGCGACGCAGGCGCGGGCCATCCGCAACTGAGCTTTATTTCGCTGTGATTTGGAACTCGCACTGGCATTGGCATTGGCAAGAATAACATGAAGAAATCCAGACCAGGAAGCAACAAAAGAAATATGGTGGCGAGAACCTTAAGACCCAAGCTCGGTTTGAACAATCGATTTCCCCACAGCGCCGCTAACCTGAATGTGTGCGGTGAGAGGCTGTATCATCCACCGTCGGGCCATATTGAGCCTATATTAACATCTGTAGTTACACGAATGTCCCACCCACGGGAATTTTGGGCCTAAGTATATAATCTCAGGCTTTGACCCACCGTAATCTGCATCTCGGGTGACTGCAGGATCTCTCCATCCATGCTAATTGGCGACCCACATCCTACGGCCCCGAGTAGGAATACACTTCAAAGTGAAATACCCGCACGCAGGGAGCCCAAAAAGCGACCCATAAAACCCTTGAACGCGTTCGAAAAAAAGATCAACTCCTAACCGATATAGCCCGGGCTCGATTCGAACGAGCGATACCCGCGTAAGGTGACTCACAGGTTTCAAGCATATACGAAACGGATACGGACCATCCGCTACCGGACTTTATTCCTTCAATGCAGGAGTGTATGGGATTTAAAAACGACTTGGAATGCAGTAAAAAGTGATGACTAACCGGACGATGGCCTGAGCTCGAATCCAACGAGTAGTTCCCACACGCTAAATTTACCACTGTGGACCCATATGCGAAGCGGTTGCGGACTCTATGCTCTGGAGTCCAAGGAACAGTCACAAGTTGATCAGGAAAACACATAGGATGGAGATATAGCCAGTGACACGGTTTGAGAAGTAAAACAGACGCGTCAGCTCAACTCATCACCTGATCGCGAGGCGTCAGCTGATCGCGGCCCATCATGCCGGCAACCCCGAGTAGATGGTCCGAACAAACTTGACAGCTACCACGACATCGGTCTTTGGCCACAGCGATACCCTTTGCCTATACTGCTATCAGACCCACACGAATGCCCGACGCCCAGCACCAATCCAGCACAGACTCGATGAAGCAGTTCCTGTGCGTCTCGTACTCCCGAATTCTGCAATCAGCTCTCGATCTCACCAGTAGTTTTGCTCAGGAAAGAAGGGCTGCACAGAGGCAAAGACGAGCTGCTCAAGGGAAAGCTCAAGTTCGAGCACTCTTTGGGCCTTGGACCCCAGCCTAACGTCATCCCTCCTGCGGTGCCAGGTATCGCTGGCGCGCCACGCACCATTTTGCTGGGATGGCACCCCGTCGCCGGCTTTGCGGGGAAGTGGTTTGCAGACAAGAGCGGTCTGGGGCGATTACTTACCGAGAAGCTGCATAAATGCCCCGATCCAACGCAGCATTGGGCGATATTAGTTGGGGAGTTTGTGCATGAACTGTGGATGGTGCGTGGCGTGGTATTTTTTTCGGTGTATTTGACTGGGTTGATGACGGAGATGTGTTTAGGACGAGAACCTGAATATAATATACCTCAACGAGCGCATCAAACCGGATGAATGGCATACCTTTGAGGTTGGAAGCACCCGCTTCAACGACGAGGCGCTGCGGCGAGCGGGTGGGCGATGCAGCTAATCAAGTTGTATCATCTCTAACCGGCTATCGTATGCACACAGGCCAAATGACTATCTATAACATGCGCGCCAAGCAAAAAGCGTACAACCTCATCACGAATAACTGCCAGAACTTTGCGCTGCAAATGCTCGACGTCGTGCAGATGGGCAAGCACCTCGAGTTTGCGACGGCGTATTCGGTGTACCATGCTGCGGTGGGGAGCCATTCTTCGGGAACCAGTAGTCCTTCGGCTTCAGCGACGAAGACGGGGCACAGCCTAAGTAGCGTGCTCGGGCTAAGTGGGGCGGAGACCCGCCTTAGCACCCTCTTCACGACGCAGGCGCAAGCGGACGGCACGCTCCCCTCGCCCTCGGTACAAACCGCCGAAGAGCGCGCCAGCGGCGAAAGCGCAAGTACGCTCTTCGCAGCGCAGGCTTCCGCGCTCCCTCGGCGGAGGAGGAGGCGGCGGAGAAGCCCCCGCACCATGTGATCGCCCATGCGCAGGAGGTGATGGACGAGCAGACGACGACGTTGGATGATCATGCGAAGTTGTTTGGATGATTCTGAGTTGGTATCAAGGGAAGAGAATGTATTTGTGAACCGGAATAATTATTAATTTATCAGGAACTCGTGAACTGGAATTCCGCGATCAAGGACCTGTTCGTCGGTCGTTGACCTGTTCAATTCAGTTCGTTGATTCCACAACAGCATCAGTGGATGCTCGTGGTGGGCACCTGCAATCTGTACCCGTCCCTCAACTACGTACTGCAAGGGAGCTCGTTCGCTTCGACTGGGCTATGATCCGCGCCAGAAAGGCACCTTTTTTTCTTGTTTCCTTATGTCCGTGCACGACCAGAACGGGTGCCGGGCATAACTTGAGTATGAATATGGCCCAGTCGCGGATGGTCCGCACCTGCTCTGCATATACGAGCTGTTTTGAGCATGCAGGGATCGCTCGTTCGACTCGAGCCTGGGCCGTACCTCTTTGGTGAGATGCTTTTTTTTGCTGGCTTCCCAATGAGAAGTAACTCCAATCGAGGAGTATGTTCCGAGAGGTGCGCATTTGAGTCATATTCGGTTGGGTCCTTTCGTTTGAGTTCCTGCTCTTATTCCTGGTTCAGTATATCTCATACTTGGTTCGCATCTAGGAAATAAAGGCTGGTCGCGGAGGATCCGCACCCGCTTCGTATGACTCAACCGTCTTGTTAGCATGCAAGAATCGCTCGTTAGACTCGAGCCTGGGCCGTGCGGATTAGACACGGGTTTCCCTGCGTTGGCTTTGCCTAGTGAGAAGTAACTCGAATTTAGGAGTGTCTTTCGGGACATGGGTGTTTGATTCATATCCGCCGTGAGGTCTCTTCGGTTGAGTTCCTGATCATTTCTTGTCCAGTGTATCTTATACTTGGTTTGCATACAGGAAATAAAGCTCGGTCGCGGAGGGTCCGCACCCGGTCTGCATAACGCTCAAATGTTTGGTTAACATGCGGGAATCGCTCGTTCGACTCGAGCCTGGGCTGTGTAGGGGGATATTGTTTCTTTTTGTGTGGTGACAGGTAACTCGATTTTGGTGGGAGTGTCTTTCGGGAGATGACAGCTATAAATCCACCCCGGGAGTGTACACTTTCGGAAGATTGGTTCTCGCCGTTGCGTCTCTTTGGTTGAGTTTCAGTAATCATTTTTCGTCAAGTATACCTTATGCTTGATTCGCATATAGGAAATCAAGCCTTGTCGCGGATGGTTCGCACCCGCTCTGCATGGCGTCCAAGTGCTTGGTTAGCATGCGGGAATCGCTCGTTCGACTCGAGCCTGGGATGTGTGCTTTGTTGTCGTTCTTTTTGTGTGTTGACAGGTAACTCGAATTTGGTGGGAGTGTCTTTCGGGAGATGACAGCTCTGGGAGTGTATACTTTCGGGAGATTGGTTCTCGCCGTTGGGTCTCTTCGGTTGAGTTCCAGCAATCATTCCTCGTCCAGTATACCTTATGCTTGATTCGCATACAGGAAATCAAGCCTTGTCGCAGATGGCTCGCACCCGCTCTGCATGGCGTCCAAGTGTTTGGTTAACATGTGGGAATCGCTCGTTCGACTCGAGCCTGGGCCGTGCCTCCTCAATCGCATTCTTTTCTTTTGTTGGCTAGGGAGGAGTATGAAACTCGAGTTTAGGAGTGTGTTTCTGGAGGTGGGCGTTCGCCGTTGGGTGTCTCAGAGTCGGTCGAGTTCCTGCTCTCATTTCTCGCCTAGTAAACCTTGCACTTGGTTTGCCTACAGCAAATAAAGCCCGGTCGCGGATGGCTCGCACCTCCATACCGTTTTCGATTCTGGTAGCCGGAAATTGCTGGTTCGACTCGAGCCTGGGCGGTATCCCGTAAGAGATATTCTTTTTCTTGTGTTGGCTTTGCCTTTGCCTAGTGAGAAGTAACTCAGATTTAGCAGTGTCTTTCGGGACATGCGTTTGTGATTCATATTCACCGTCGGGTCTTTTCGGGTGAGTTCCTGCTCCCATTTTTTAAGCTTGTCCACTACATCTTATACTTGATGCTCAGAAAGGAAATAAAGCGGTTTGCGGACGGCCTGCGCCCGCTCTGCATGGTGGTTGGTTAACATGCAGGAATCACTCATTCGACTCGAGCCTGGGCGGTACCGATTCCGTTAGATGATTTTCTTCTGTGTCGATGGCTTTGCTTATTGAGAAGTAATTCGAATTTAGGAGTGTCTTTTGGAAGGTGCCTGTGGTTCTCTTCGGTTGAGTTCCTGCTTTCGTTTTATATGTTATACTTGGTCCGCATCCAGGAAATAAAGCCCGGTTGCGGATGGTCCGCTTCTGCTCTGCATGTGTCTTGTCAAAGCTTAGCCTGCGGAATCGCTCGTTCGACTCGGGCCTGGGCTGTGTGCTGTGATAATTCATGTTTTGCCCGGGTGCTGCAAGGCGAATACGGATTTATTGTGGTCATCTTCTTTGCTTCGCTCGGAACGGGCCCTTCGATACCAAAAATGCTGGAGCGCGTAGTGGAGTGATTATGGAGGCGAGAAGGTCTGGCGCGTTAAGAAAACCACAGCGGGGCTACTGATTTAATGAGACAAGTAAATAAACTAAGGTACAAGAGTCTATAGTACGTATTTGGAAATGTGAGTGAACGAACTTCAAGCCCTGATCGTGAAATAGGGGCTGAAATTCCCTGAATCACCAAACACTGCGTTGCGGTCATTTCAAGAACGGAAGGCAAATGTGGGATTCACTCACAGACCAGTTGATAATCGTCCCCGGCCTCGACATGAGGGACCTTGGCCTCGATCCGACCCAAGAGAATCGAGAAGTTCCTCGCGAGTACCACTGAAAAGAAGTGGCGTCAGTCATGAATGAGTGCGACGGGTGAGACACTTGCTTGTTGTAGTGCGATTCGCCTTGCGCAGCGTGATTTGACCAATGGGATTGGTGATACGGGCTGGGGGATTGGTGGTATTCCTTGGTACGATGAGCTCGCGGCTCGGAAGCGCTGCCAGCGAAGCACTTACCAAGTGACATTGTGCGTTTGCCCGACTATCCACACCGTCCCGGCGTGCGGGTACGTGACGGGCGGTGTGTACACATCCCGGGTCTCAAGCGTCTCTGTACAGGGTATGAATGCTCCCGGTGCGGCCTGCACATGCACGACGGCGACTGAGAGTGCCGTGGCAAACAAAAGCGCAGAGGTGAAGGTAAATTTCATGATGCCTTTGGATGAGCTGAGCTGTGAGAGGTGCGAGCTCGGAGGGGAATCGAGGTGGGGTGTGTGAGTCTGAGCTCGCCACAGAGCATTTTTATAGATTTTGAGAACTCCATTGCTCCATGACGCAAGTGTCTTGCGGCGGGATTCAGATATGGGATCGATCCGTCCGGTCTAGTATGGATCGACACAGCCAAAACATCCGCGCGGCACGTCATGACTGTTAAGCCATCTGGCGAACCTCAGAGAGAAGGCGCACTTGAGTCTTGAGATGTCGCCCTCTCTTCGCCATCTGCGCTAAGTAATTTAGTCTTAAATTCGAATTGCAGGCTCGGGAGAGCGCTGAAAATTTTGAGAGGACTGTTGGTGGGCTTCATTGAGTGGAGTTCAAGGATCCCATTCACCCATACGGCCTCTTCATCTCTGGACGGAACCGATCGTGAATGGAGGAGAGCAACAAACATAGCCACCGATTTCGGAGGCTTCGGAGGGTAATGATGGTTTCGGCCGATATGCCGATTATGCAAATTACTTACCTTCCACCGTCAGTCGCCTCATCCCGGTTCGGTTTAGTACCGCAAGAGCCCCGCACCTTCGGGATTCGGGAAAGGTTATTGGCGCAGTTGCTGTAGTCTTCACGTCCTCGGAGTCAGAAACCCACTTGGCACGAGCAACCCTCCACGCGAGATCTCATCTGGTCAAAACGCTCGAGTTTACGGCGAGCCATAAAACATGAATCGTGTATCGGTCTCTCTCGCCGTCTTGTCTTCGCGATCGCTGGAATTTGAAAACCTCGGCGTCGTTGCTGCTATGGCGCACAGTGCAAACCCCAGATACTCATCGCGGCCCACATCTCGTCTCACAGGTTCTTCGACAATATTGCTCCGTTATTATACATTACTGTGGTCGATACTCCCAGCTTCCCATCATCGCCACTGCCTAACACTGGTCGGAAGGATCTCAAGACGCAGCGTGGAACGTGAGCCTCCTTGAGGCCGATTTTCCTCTTGTACCGGTCCGCACTGGGAACAGCTCCGTCGAGACGTCCTTTTCAAGACATGCACATAACGGTGTGCATCCATCCTTCATGTCGAATTCCAGCAACACAGACGTCGGATTTCGTCGTGATACTCCGCGAAATGTTTCTTGGCCAGCTCCTCAGTGACATTGTCGGTTTTGAAGTCTTCAAACACGGGACAATAGAATTGCAGGGCCTTCCCCATCCCACTCGCATCGATCGACTCCACCCAAAAACCTGGGCTTTGCAATTTCGAAAATGTGCTCCGCTACTTTTTCCACCAGCTATCGGCGTCGCGCGTGGTGAGCACAATTTTGCCTCAGAGTACGCGGCGATCAGCTCCTCTGCAAATACACGGCAAATAAGGCATTTCGGCGACGGCCTTAATTGGTGCGTCACTTGGAGATCATCGTTCGATTTGTGATCGAGTCATTCGACCATCCACCAGAATCAAACCCCATTCCCTCTCCCAATGTGGTTTTCCCTGATTACCGTGATCCACGAATCCAGCTTCCCTGGCCAGCCGGTACTGGCTAAGACTTCAAAGCCGTGGTTCATGCGCACATACGGCAAGGTCTCGAGGGCAATTTTCAGCGCTGAAGCCCATTCTCCAGAAATCTTCCAATGTATACTCACACTCCGTTCCTATTCTACAGAATCTCATCACACCGTTCTCCGCTGTTCCAATTTCGTTGGGGTAGACATTCTGAAATCTCAGATTTGGGATCCTCTTCGGGTGTGGGATCTGGAAATTATATGTTCAGCGCTCACAAGTAGAACCACCCACTCTCACCCATGAGTGGGCCTCTGGTCTTCGTCCCATGTACGTTGGGACCATTTAAATATCTTATTGATTGGTGTTTCTGCAGCTCACGAACACAAACTGAACTCTTAGTTCGCTGGCCTCAAAGTTCACACAGGTTATGTTCCAAATGAGGGATGTCCAACTGTTGGTTTTATCTCGGCAACCAATTGAGATATCACTCCTGGCTGTTAGGCCTTTGGTTACAGGCTCATGAGGAGCTCTACTGTAACTACTGTATATATATTAGAATCCAATTAATCCTGCAAGTTCCGGCAAGTTCCATCGAGTTCGGCATCAGTCAGCATCAGTCATCCATCAGTCAGCGTCTTCGGTCTTCTCTCGGAGTTGTGCTGGATTCCAAATCTCCAACACCAACAGAGATAGGGGCTCGACACCAAATGCGGCAATGCTTTCTCCGCCATCACTGATTTCCATCTACCTTTTCGACCACCA